CTTCGGGACGGGATGTGTTAGAACTCCGAAGTAAAGCGAGTTCGAGTAAGAGCAATTTCATGATGAGTGATACATTGGGAAGTTCTCGTCTGAGTTCCCAGAAACAAAACCGTGAGGGCGTGGTCGAGGCCCAAAGCGGATAATATCATGCTACGGCGAAGTCGAGCCCGGAATATGATGGGGACCCGGACCAGGATGTGACAAATAACGTGTCTAAATTCGCCTTTAGTAAAAATACCACTATGCCGTGGTAAAAATTGATAGTACCAAAAAGTTAATTGAATTGACATGTAAGTATATTATTAAAAAATAATAAATTGTATGTACCAAAACAGTTCGAGAGTATTAAAAAACTCATAAAATTTATGAATTTTCAAACTATATTTTAAAAGGAAAACTAATGAAAAATGTTTGAAAATTTTGAGTTTTAATGATAATGATAAAATAAAGGGTAAAATGAATAGTACCATGATTGACTTTTTAGTGTAAAAATATGATTTTTTATTAAAGTGAACATTACCGAATGCTTTTCGTTAAAGTTCCTTATTTTAAAATCTTCGAGACTATCTCGGTTCAGAAAATTCTTAAAATTTTCAATTTAAAAAATTGCGATTCGATTTGAATTAATTTCGAAATATCAAAATAAAAGTTAAAAATATTCCTACCCAAAGTTCCCGTTCAAAAAAAAAGGGCACGACCCAAAGGTCAAGAGCATGCTTACTAGAAAATGTAATCAAGGGACGAGCGGCGAAATAATCGGGGGACACGTGGCCCCGCCGCCCAGCGCTTTCACCCCGCCGAGTCAAGTCAACATTTGAAAAACAAAAAGCTTTGCAACCGCGCTGAGTTACTCTTCATTCTCTGAGAAATTCGGAGTCCATTTTCTTCTCAATCTTTCAACTTCCCATCCATCGGAAGATTGAAATCCATGGCGATGGAAGTTGTGGGCGGCGCTCTTCTCTCTTTTTTTCTCTCCGTCTTGTTTGATAGGCTGGCCTCCCGTCCCGTCGTCGACTTCATCCGCGGACAGAAGATCACCAGCGGACTGCTCAAGAAGTTGAGGATTAAGCTGCTTTCAGTTAATTCTGTGCTCGATGACGCGGAGGAGAAGCAATTCAACAACCCAGCTGTGAGGGAGTGGCTCGACGAACTTAAAGATGCTCTGTATGCTGCAGACGACCTGCTGGATGTGATCAAGACTGAAGCTCTGCGGCGAAAGCTCGAAGGCGATGAATCCGAAAGCAGCAGCAGCAGAAAAAGTCAGGTACCCATCTCCAGTTCCACTTGGATTGATGAATTTGACAAAACAATGGAACCCAAGATTGTAGAAATGCTTGAGAGGTTAGAATTTATTGTAAATGAGAAAGATGTGCTTGGTTTGAACGAGGGTGTTCCGAATCGGCGACCACAATCAAGATTATCTGCCACCTCTTTGGTGGAAGAGGACGGTGTGTACGGTAGGGATGAGGACAAGGAGACCACTGTGAAGCTATTGCTATCTGATGATGCGAATGGCAATAAGTTGAGTGTGATTCCGGTTGTGGGAATGGGTGGCATCGGAAAGACCACCCTTGCGCAGCTCGTATACAACGATGCTAGAGTGAAGCAACATTTTGACTTGCAAGCATGGGTTTATGTTTCAGAAGAATTTGATGTTGTTAGAATAACCCAAATCATTTATGGTTCAGTCATTTCACAAACTTGTAGTATTACGGACTTGAATCTACTTCAAGTTAAACTCAAGGAGGCTTTGACGGGAAAGAAATGTTTCTTTGTTCATGATGATGTATGGAACGAGAATTATATTCACTGGGATGCATTGCGGTGTTCTTTTGAGTCTGTCGCACACGGAAGTAAGATCATTGTGACTACACGTAACCAACGTGTTGCATCAATGATGGGTACTGTCACAACTTACCATCTAAACCACATATCTGACGAAGATTGCGGGTTGTTATTTTCCAAGCATGCCTTCGGCAGGATAAACTCAGCTGTGCATCCAACTCTAGAAGAAATCAGTAGCGGAATAATTAAGAAGTGTAAAGGTCTTCCTTTAGCTGCAAAGTCTCTTGGGGGTTTGTTGCGCTGTAAACAAAGTTACGAGGAGTGGGATGAAATATTGAAAGAGTGAAATATGGGACTTGCAAGATGAGTATACCATTCTTCCAGCTTTGAGATTAAGTTATCATCATCTTCCTTCTCATCTAAAACGATGTTTTTCCTATTGTTCGATTTTCCCCAAAGGATACAAATTTGGAAAATCAGAATTAGTTTTGTTGTGGATGGCTGAAGGTTTTTTGTCACCCCAAAGAAAGAAAATGATGGAAGACGTTGGAGTGGAGTACTTTGATGATTTAATATCGAGGTCATTTTTTCAGCATTCAGGTGATGACCAATCACTTTTTACCATGCACGACCTTATCAACGATTTAGCAAAGTTTGTATCAAGAGAATTTTGTTTTAGGTTGGATGATAGCGACTCATTCAATAATGTTTCAAGCAAGACTCGTCATTTCTCATACACTCAGAATAGCCCCTTTCTCGAAGGACTTGGTGTAGGTGTTCATGCGCGACTGCAAAGGAGGAGATTTCTGGTTTTGATAAATTTGAAGCTTTATGCGAAGCCAAGTATTTGCGCACCTTCCTAGCAATAAAACCTGGACCATTATGGAATATTTTCAGTTTCAACAAGGTACCTCATGATCTCTTATGAACACTGTATTGTTTGAGAGTGCTCTCTTTATCTCATTGTAACAACAAGGAGTTGCCTTATTGGATTGGCAATTTGAAACACCTAAGGTATATAGACTTGTCATACAGTAGATTTGAAAAGTTACCTGAAACGATATGTACTTTGCATAATCTACAAACGTTGCTCTTGTTCAATTGTTATGAACTTGCTCAGTTGCCGATCAACTTGGGGAGACTCATCAACTTGCGCCATCTTGATGTTAGAAGCACTAATCTAAAAGAGATGCCACCACATATGGATAAGTTGAAGGATCTCCACACATTGAGTGACTTTGTTGTTGGCAAACAAACTGCACCTAGCATTGTAGTGTTGAAAGAGCTTCAGATAGTAGGTACACTTGCTATTTCAGGGCTTCATAATATAGTGAATTCTGAGGATGCTTTTGTTGCCAATATGAGAAATAAGCACCTTGACGGACTAGCTTTGACATGGGGAGCTGAGACCGATGATTCACAAAAAGATAGAGAGGTGCTTAATAATCTCCAGCCTCATACACACCTGAAAGCCCTCAGTCTTAAGTTTTATGGGGGTACAAGATTTCCGGATTGGTTAGGAGATCATTCTTTTTCTAATTTGGTTTCTCTTCAACTCGAAGATTGTAAACATTGTTGCGCCTTGCCACCACTGGGGCAGCTACCCTCCCTCGTCACGCTTTATGTTTGTGGGTTAAATGAAGTGGAGACGATAGGGCCTGAGTTTTATGGTAATGGTGTTTCTGTTGTTATGCCATTTAGATCTCTATCAGTTTTATTCTTCAAAGATATGTTGGGATGGCAAGAGTGGTCTCATTTCGGAAGTAGCCAAGAAGGTGGAGCTTTTCCTCATCTTTGTCAGCTCTATCTGACAAATTGTCCCAAGCTAACACAGAAATTACCTGAGTATCTTCCATCCTTGACTACACTTGAGATAAGGAGATGCGAGCAACTTCTGGGTTCACTTCCAAGAACTCGGGCCATTTTGGAGATTCCTTCTGTGAAAGACAACCTTTGTCTTGAAGAGAAAACTAGCGGTACTAACTCATCTCTTACTCCATTTCCTTGTGACGGTCTGGCTGATGCTTTAAGAGTTCTTAAAATAAAAAACTGTTGGAACTTATCTCCACTAAATTACTGCTATGCATTCCTTAAAACATTGAAGATAAAGAGTAGCTGTGATTCAACCACATCTATCCCGCTGGACTACTTCCCAAATGTTAAAGAGCTCAAATTATATGACTGTAGGAATCTGGAATCCCTTACTTATTCCCAGGATTCTGAAAGCCCTACAATCCTGTCCCTCAGTTCCTTGAGAATATTTAATTGCCCAAATTTTATATCTTTTCCTGATGGAGGACTGTACGCCCCCAACTTGATAGTGCTTAATATATCTGAATGTGATAAATTGAGGTCATTGCCAGAACATATGTGCACCAGTCTCTCATCTCTTCAGGCTGTAATCCTAGAGTATTGTTCTGAACTAGAGTCATTTCCTGAAGGGGGACTGCCTTCAAATTTGGATATGCTGCGTATCTTTGGATCCAAAAAACTCATTGCCAACCGCATGCACTGGGGTCTGGATAGGCTCATCTGTCTCAGATACTTGGCCTTCAGCTTTGACGAATGTGAAGACGTTGTATCATTTCCAGAGGAGGGGCTTCTGCCTACCATTTTGACTACTCTCTGCATCTTCAATAGTCCAAATCTTAAGATCCTGGACTCTAAGGGTTTTCAAAACCTCACCGCTCTTCAACATTTGTTCATTGATGGGTGTAATGAGCTTGAATGCTTGCCAGAAGGCCTTCCCACTTCTCTTTCTCATTTGGATATCAATAAATGTCCTTTGCTGACACAAAGGTGCCAGAATGAGATAGGGGAAGATTGGCCAAAGATTTCTCACATCACTCGTGTAACCGTTGATGGGCTCGATTTCATAAACTGATTGACTCTCTCTCAGGTACTTCTTGCACTAATATGATTTTTGAAGTTTATGAATGGTTCAATATTAGTAGGGAATCTGAAAAAAATTAGTTCCGGTCACTTATTCACTTTCAACTATTTATGCAATCTATAACTACCTGATGTTAATTTCTAGTGGATTTAACTTCATCTTTCAGTCCATTAATGCTATGTTCCTGTCAACTACTTCCTCATTTTTAGTTGTGAGTTGTTCCTTCGCATATTAATTTGTCACTTGTTTATGTTCCTTTACGTATCAATCCAAATTTAAAATTATTTATTTTGTTGCTTTGCTTGAAAACTCCGCCTATGTCTTACATGGCCGGTCCCAAGCCCGGATAAAGGAGGAGGGGGAGGGCGTCAGGTAGTCGACAGCCGGCACTCCATGATCACGTCGAATCCTTATGAAAATGAATCCAGAACAAAATCGCGCTAAAGCTAGGGCGTCACCCGTAAGTGGCGCGCTGTGTGGCCCGAGCACAGTGATAAGTGAGCAAGGGTCGCTGTATCTCCATCGGCACCCGGATGCAGTGTTAAATGAGCAAGGGGGACCATAGAAACTTCTTTTCGAACGACTCCACTCAAAAGTTGTTTGGGAGCATATGCTCCTATCAACTTTACCCGGGACACACAAAAGAAGTACTTTGATCCTATTAGACGGGGGAGGGTGAAGAAGCTAGGACAGAAGGGTAGAGTTCAAGAGAGCAAAATGCGTTTAGGAACGTGGAATATAGGAACCTTAACGGGAAAATCTATGGAAGTAGTGGAAGTTATGGTGAGGAGAAGGATAAATATTATGTGCCTACAAGAAACTAAGTGGGTTGGTAGTAAGGCAAAGGATCTAGAAAACTCAGGGTTTTAAACTTTGGTATTCGGGCACAAATAGAACGAGAAACGGTGTTGGCATCATCGTGGACAAGACCTTGGTACAAGATGTTGTAGATGTCAAGAGGATAGAAGATAGAATCATGGCAATCAAGATTGTAATAGGACAAGAACTTATCAATGTGATTAGTGCGTACGCACCTCAAGTAGGGTTGGATACGAGTTCGAAGGAGAAATTTTGGGAAGATCTTGGAGACTTGGTGCAAGGAATTGCTCAGACGGAGAAGTTATTTATAGGAGGAGATTTAAATGGACACGTGGGCAGGGAGACAGGCAACTATGGAGGTTTTCATGGTGGCCATGGTTTTGGGGAGAGAAACGAGGATGGGGAAGCTATCTTGGATTTTTGCAATGGCATATGATCTCTTCTTAGCCAACACCTTCTTTAAGAAGAGAGAAGAACATGTGATCACCTACAAGAGTGGGTCGTCAAAAACACAAATAGATTTTCTTCTAATGAGGAAAGGGGATCGTATAACTTGTAAGGATTGCAAAGTTATACCAGGAGAGAGCGTGGCTAATCAACATCGCTTGTTGGTGATGGATGTACATATCAAAAGAGTAAGACAAAAGAACAAGACTTGGAAGTGCCCAAGGACTAGATGGTGGAATCTAAAAGAAGAAAAACAAGCCATTTTCAAAGAGAAGGTAATCACCCAATGTGTGTGGGATAGAGAGGGGGAAGCTAGCCAAATGTGGGATTCCATGGCTAGTTGTATCCGAAAAGTAGCAAAAGAGGTATTAGGAGAGTCCAAGGGCTTTGCCCCACACCAAAAGGAATCTTGGTGGTGGAATGAGGAGGTACAAACAAAGGTGAAGGCTAAGAAGGAATGTTGTAAAGCCTTATACAAGGAGAGGACCGATGAAAATGGTGAAAGGTATAGAAAAGCGAAGCAAGAGGCGAAGAAAGCTGTCAGAGAAGCTAAGTTAGCGGCTTACGACGATATGTATAAACGACTAGATACCAAAGAAGGAGAGTTGGATATCTATAAACTATCTAGAGCAAGGGAAAAGAAGACAAGGGACCTAAACCAAGTGAGGTGCATCAAGGATGAGGATGGAAAGGTTCTTGCTACAGAGAACGCGGTTAAAGACAGATGGAGAGGTTATTTTCATAATCTTTTCAATGAAGGACATGAAATGAGTGCTTCTTTAGGGGAGTTGAGTAACTCAGAAGAGTGTAGAAACTACTCTTTTTATTGTCGAATCCGGAAGGAAGAAGTGGTTGTAGCTTTGAAGAAGATGAAGCATAAAAAAGCAATAGGCCCAGACGATATACCAATCGAAGTGTGGAAACTTTTGGGAGAGACAGGTATAACATGGCTCACTGACCTTTTCAATAGGATTTTGAAAACGAAGAAGATGCCAAATGAGTGGCGAACGAGCACTTTGGTGCCTATCTACAAGAATAAGGGCGACGTACAAAATTGCATGAACTATAGGGGTATTAAGCTAATGAGTCATACAATGAAGCTCTGGGAGAGAGTCATTGAGCATAGATTGAGGCAAGAGACACGGGTTTCGGACAACCAATTCGGGTTCATGTCAGGGCGCTCAACCATGGAGGCAATCTATCTCTTACGAAGATTGATGGAAAGATATAGAGATGGGAAAAAGGATTTACACATGGTCTTTATAGATTTGGAAAAAGCGTATGATAGGGTCCCAAGAGACATTCTTTGGAGGATTTTAGAGAAGAAAGGAGTACGAGTAGCATATATCCAAGCTATAAAGGATATGTATGAAGGAGCAAAGACTGCCGTAAGAACTCATGAAGGACAAACCGAAAGCTTTCCCATAACTGTAGGATTACATCAAGGCTCATCCTTAAGTCCTTACCTTTTTGCGTTGGTAATGGATGAGTTAACAGGACATATTCAAGATGATATTCCTTGGTGTATGCTTTTCGCAGACGATATAGTGTTGATAGATGAAACTCAGGAAGGGGTAAATGCAAAGCTTAACCTTTGGAGAGAAGTCTTGGAATCTAAAGGTCTTCGCCTAAGCCGATCAAAGACAGAATATATGGAGTGCAAGTTCAGTGCAAATGGAGGCCAAAACGAGTTAGGGGTGAGGATCGGAGATCAAGAAATACCAAAGAGCGACCGTTTTCGTTACCTAGGATCTATCTTGCAAAAGAACGGAGAATTAGATGGAGATCTCAACCATAGAATACAAGCTGGATGGATGAAGTGGAAGAGTGCATCCGGCGTGTTGTTGTGTGACCGTCGTATGCCACTGAAGCTCAAGGGAAAATTTTATAGGACGGCAATAAGGCCGGCGATGCTGTATGGCACAGAATGTTGGGCGGTGAAACATCAACACGTACACAAAATGGGTGTAGCGGAGATGAGGATGCTTCGTTGGATGTGTGGGCACACGAGAAAGGATAAAATTAGGAATGAGGATATCCGGGGTAAAGTAGGAGTAGCCAAAATTGAAGGAAAGATGAGAGAAAATCGGTTACGGTGGTTTGGACATGTGCAAAGAAGGCCTACTGACGCTCCGATTAGAAGATGCGACTATGGGACAGAGGTTCAGGGCCGAAGGGGTAGAGGAAGACCTAGGAAAACTTTGGAAGAGACTCTAAGAAAAGACTTAGAGTACTTGGATCTAACGAAGGACATGACACAGGATCGAGCACAATGGCGTTCTAAGATTCATATAGCCGATCCCATTCAGTGACTTGGATTTTCCAAGTCTCCAACCGAGAAGTTTTCCTCACTCGGGAAATTAAGGGAACACTACCCCAACCTACATGCTCCACTCAGAAAGCTTCAACATACAAGCTTCAACAAAAGAAAATTCAAAGAACTTAGCGAAGAAGGCTTTGGTGTATTTAACACAATACGTTGAAATGAAGGAAAGCTTATTTATTGATATCCCCGATAAGCTACAAATATGTACATATACATGAGTCAAAATAAAACACACAAGAGGGAGCCTTCACAAAGGTTGCTTAGGAGAAGTCTCAGCAGTCGGTAGAGCCCCAGAAAGAGAAGGCACCGGAGGGGGATCATTTGGAGCCTCAGTACTGGACAGAACCCTAGAAGGAGGAGGCATCAGAGGTTGATCATTTGGAGCTTCATCACGCGGTACAGCCCCAGAAGACGAAGGCAATAAATGCCTTTGGAACAAACCCACAAATCTCTGATGATCAAGTAAAACCTGACCATCAGTTTCCTTCATCTGGTCAAGCTTCCTCTTCATGTTTGTAGCATAGTCATGTGCGAGCCGGTGCAACTGTTTATTCTCATGCTTGAGCCCTCTAATCTCCTGTTTGAGACTCATCACTTCAGCCGCCAATGATTCAACTTGGCGGGTTCGAGCAAATAGGCGTTGGGCCATATTAGACACAGAACCTGCACACTGAACACTGAGAGCCAGCGAATCCTTAACAGCTAACTCATCAGACCGTTTGGAAAGTAGTCTGTTATCTTTGGGAGTGAGAAGGTTCCTGGCCACCACCGCAGCGGTCATATCATTCTTCATCACGGAATCCCCAACGGTAAGAGGACCAGTAGGGGAGACGAAGGATGGGCGCCATATGTTGTCTGGAGAAGGCGGGGCTGCCTCTTCAACAAGGTTCAAGTCAAAACGACGGTCGGAGGGGCCAGACATTTTCAAAGGTGTTGAAGAGAGAAGAGGTCGGACAAATCAAGATCTTAGAAGTGCAAGAATGAAGCTTCTACTGGTGGAGATTCAAGTGTGCTTTGGAACTTAATGCCAGCCCCTATAAAAATCTGCACTCGACGGAGCTTCAGAAATCGAAGAGGCGCCTGCTCAGAAATCGAAGAGGCGTTTGCTTTCTCAAAAGCTGGGCTGCTTAGCGATCACGAGGGTTGATCTCAGAAATCGAAGAGGCGTTTGCTTTCTCAAAAGTTGGGCTGCTCAAAGACCACGAAGGCCGATCTCAGAAATCGAAGAGGCGCTCGCTTTCTCAAAAGCTGGGCTCCCCAGAGACCACGAGGGCCGATCTCAGAAATCGAAAAGGCACCTACTTTTCCAGCCTTGTCAGCACCTGTCACACGCACACTCAGCTTTGCGGAAATTATGGGCATTCTGTCAAAGACTTCTGGGGAAGTAGAAAACACATGAATCTTACTGTTCAATCACCCACTTCCCACACACAACAATAGCTCATGGGTACCACAGATAACTTTGCCAAAGTTCTCTGCCAAAGTTGAGCACGTGAAGCTTGCAGCTCCCACTACATCGCTCTGACCAAGAAGGGTAAAAGAATAGCAAAGAAACAGCACTAACAAAGTTTAGACCCATAAATTTTGAAGTTCTAGCTACCATATTATTACCCACAAGGGTAAAGGAACAGTACCACTGCTGGATAATTGGAAAGTCCCTGTGTGTCAACCTCTGTGCTTCGTGGCAAGGTAGACTAGCAAACATGCCCAACCTTTACTCACATTCGAGAAAACACTCCCAATAAGATTGCTTGCTCCAAAATCGAAGAGGCACCGTCCTCCGAATCTCGAGAGCCAGACTCCCAACATGACTACTTTCTTAAAAATCGAAGAGAGGGTAAAGGAACAGTACCATTGCTGGATAATTGGAAAGTCCCTGTGTGTCAACCTCTGTGCTTCGTGGCAAGGTAGACTAGCAAACATGTCCAACCTTTACTCACATTCGAGAAAACACTCCCAACAAGATTGCTTGCTCCAAAATCGAAGAGGCACCGCCCTCCGAATCTCGAGAGCCAGACTCCCAACATGATTACTTTCTCAAAAATCGAAGAGACACTGCTCCCCGAATCTCGAGAGCCAGACCCCCAGCATGATTGCTTTCTCAAAAATCGATGAGGCATCGTTCTCCGAATCAATTGAAGAGGCGCTCGCTTTCTCAAAAGCTGGGCTGCTCAGAGACCACGAGGGCCGATCTCAGAAATCGAAGAGGCACCTACTTTTCTAGCCTTGTCAGCACCTGTCACACACACACTCAGCTTTGCAGAAATTATGGGCATTCTGTCAAAGACTTCTGGTGAAGTAGAAAGCACATGAATCTTACTGTTCAATCACCCACTTCCCACACGCAACAATAGCTCATGGGTACCACAAATAACTTTGCCAAAGTTCTCTGCCAAAGTTGAGCACGTGAAGCTTGCAGCTCCCACTACATCGCTCTGACCAAAAAAGGTAAAAGAATAGCAAAGAAACATCACTAACAAAAGTTTAGACACATAAATTTTGAAGGTCTAGCTACCATATTATTACCCACAAGGGTAAAGGAACAGTACCATTGCTGGATAATTGGAAAGTCCCTGTGTGTCAACCTCTGTGCTTCGTGGCAAGGTAGACTAGCAAACATGCCCAACCTTTACTCACATTCGAGAAAACACTCCCAACAAGATTGCTTGCTCCAAAATCGAAGAGGCACCGTCCTCCGAATCTCGAGAGCCAGACTCCCAACATGACTACTTTCTCAAAATCGAAGAGAGGGTAAAGGAACAGTACCATTGCTGGATAATTGGAAAGTCCCTGTGTGTCAACCTTTGTGCTTCGTGGCAAGGTAGACTAGCAAACATGCCCAACCTTTACTCACATTCGAGACAACACTCCCAACAAGATTGCTTGCTCCAAAATCGAAGAGGCACCGCCCTCCGAATCTCGAGAGCCAGACTCCCAACATGATTACTTCCTCAAAAATCGAAGAGACACTGCTCTCCGAATCTCGAGAGTCAGACCCCCAGCATGATTGCTTTCTCAAAAATCGAAGAGGCATCGTTCTCCGAATCTCGAGAGCCAGATACCACAGACCACTTTTTCAAAGTGCTCTGACAGAGTTAAAACATGTGAAACTGGCAGCTCCCACTACCGTGCTATGACCAAGCAGGGTAAAGGAATAGCATTACTACTTGTTAGGGGAGACTCCTATATATGTCGACCTCCATCCCCAACGGACAGGCAGACCTGCAAAAATGCTTAACCCTTCATCATACCTGAGAGGGCACTCCCAACGAAGCCTTTCGAAATATTCAGCTTTCTTTCCCCCCGATAATACCTCTGCAAACAAGCTATACTAGAGCAAGAATATCTCATATCATCAGGGTTAAAAGCAAGAGAGTATCCCATATCATCATGCTTTTTCCCTGTCTTTTCTTTTGGCCTTGTTTTTACCTGCAAGACAAGGAGAAAGAGAGCAATCAGTCAGCACTTGGAATCAAGCTTCCAGCCAGGAATTGACTGCCTGGAACCCCTTACCTGATTACTTACCTGGCATTGCTCTCGAGTACTCATCTTCAACATCTTATGTTTCCAGGGAAGATTCCGCATCTGCTTGAGGAACAGATAGGGCAAGTGCGAAGGATACAAGGAAGCATGTGGAGACAAGCGTAACAGCACACGTGCCGATACATCCATTACTCTGTCAAAAGCAAAAGTATCCCATATCAGCAGGGTGGAACGTACTCTAGATTTGATGGACTTGTTTTGACCCTCAAATTCTTCAGTCGGCCTTATACTCTGGAGGAAACCAGAAAACCCTCCAGCTCAGTTCAAGAATACGCCTGTGGAAAGTTACTTCTTCAAAAGCAAAAGTATCTCATATCATCTCTTCTCATTTTTCTTCTCTTTATCCTTCATGCTGCTGCAAGATGGGGAGAAGGTGAACAATCAGTCGGAGCTCTGATTGCTTACCTTGTCTGTCACCTCTTTCAGCAGACCCCTAGCTCGGCGACTTGGGGGACTCCTACTACATGGTTTGTATCGCGCTTGACCAAGCCTGAAACTACAAGTAAGCTTCAAGTGAAATTGATACATTACCTTGTGCATCTCCACCAGTTAAAGATACCACCCCTGGATGGAGGAAGAGTACTTCCAGAGAAGATGCCACATCTACCTATGAGACAGATAAGGCAAGTCAAGACGACACCACACTCCGATACTTAGAAGTTTCGTGATTACGAGATCATTCTCCCACAATATTTCCTAATGTCATTTGTACTAAATCATTCACTTGTACTCACTAAAGGAGAGCTTGAACCTATGTACTTGTGTAAACCCTTCACAACTAATGAGAACTCTTCTATTCCGTGGACGTAGCCAATCTGGGTGAACCACGTACATATTGGTTTGCTTTCCTATCTCTATCCATTTATATACTTATCCACACTAATGACCGGAGCAATCTAGCGAAGATCACAAAAAGCGACCGTTTTCGCTACCTAGGATCTATCTTGCAAGAGAACGGAGAATTAGATGGAGATCTCAACCATAGAATACGAGCTGGATGGAAAGAGTGCATCCGGCGTGTTGTGTGACCGTCGTAGGCCACTGAAGCTCAAGGGAAAATTTTATAGGACGGCAATAAGGCCAGCGATGTTGTATGGCACAGAATGTTGGGTGGTGAATTATCAACACGTACCCAAAATGGGTGTAGCGGAGATGAGGATGCTTCGTGGGATGTGTGGGCACACGAGAAAGGATAAGATTGGGAATGAGGATATCCGAGGTAAAGTAGGAGTAGCCGAAATTGTAGGAAAGATGAGAGAAAATCGGCTCCGGTGATTTGGACATGTGCAAAGAAGGCCGACTGACGCTCCGGTTCGAAGATGTTACTACGGGACAGAGGTTCAGGGCCGAAGGGGTAGAGGAAGACCTAGGAAAACTTTGGAAGAGACTCTAAGAAAAGACTTAGAGTACTTGGATCTAACGGAGGACATGACACAAAACCGAGCGTAATGGCGTTCTAGGATTCATATAGCCGACCCCACTTAGTGGGAAAAGGCTTTGTTGTTGTTGTTGTTGTTGTTTGTGTTGCTTTGCTTGAAATTCAATGACTATAACAGAACTGTAATCAATATACATGAAACCTACAAATTGCGTATACCAAGTTGTATAAGTTGATGGATCAATGGTAATAATTTTTCTCCTAATCTTTGGATGCACTAGCTATAACTCACCCCAGACAGGTCCAATTGGGGTTTCATTCCGAAGGTCTTTTTAATCTGTTTGTTTTCGTGTTTGTGCCACCTTTATAATTGATAGGTTCAGCTCTACCAAGTCCAGCCAAGGACTTCGGCTGGCATGATCCAGAATTCATTCATACAGTAGTAATGAGAGGGCTTAATCCTTCATCTAGTTTCTCTTACCGATACGGAAGGTATGAATCGTTATGATGTAGTTTTAACCTTATAACTAATATTTGGTAAAAGAAAAAGAAGAAACAATGTTCAAAATATTTGATGAAGGCGAATATGGTGTATGATGACAATGATCAATATATATACATATATATAATTTTGTTATTAACAAAAGACCCTTTCATCTTTTTTCAAATTCATGAACAAAAATGCAGCGATTCAGTTGGTTGGAGTGATCAAATCCAATTCTGAACTCCACCAGCAGGAGGATCTGATGAACTCAAATTTCTTGCATTTGGCGACATGGGAAAGGCTCCTCGTGATTCTTGGGCGATGCATTACATTCAGGTATGATGCATTAGTTTCTGCCAATTACTCAAATTTCTGGCACATGTTTGTACCTTGAAGGAAAAGTAAAGGCTACCGAGAATTTCAATCTTGTTGCATGAATATATAGCCAGGATCTCTTTCAATGATTCAAGCCGTGGCCGATGAAATAAATTCCAGGATTGTAGACTCTATCTTCCACATTGGAGACATTAGCTATGCCACAGGATTTTTAGTTGAATGGGATCTTTTCCTTCAACAAATCAGTCCAGTCGCTTCTTGAGTTTCTTACACAAGGTTCTAAAAGACGCTAGGCGCTTGTCGGGCGGCGGGCGGTGGGCCTAGCACCTAGGCGGCTAGGCGGTCGCCTAGGCGGATTTAAGTAAATCTATTATATTTCGTGTAAATAAGTGTCTGTTTATACTTAAAATATATATAATTTCATCATAAACTACAAAATAAAATGACATGTATATTATGAAGTATTTGAACATAATGAAAACATGGGGAACAAGCATGTAATGTGTGTTCATTTAACTATTCAGCAAGTCTCTTACAATTTATTGAAAAAAAATTAAAATAAAAATGAAAGTTATCTATTTTCTATCTAAGTGAGTCGCAACGTAAGCGGTGCCTAGGCGGGCTAGGCAAGTGCCTAGGCGGTCTAGGCGGGTGCCTCAGTAGGTATAGGCTCCCTTTCATAATTTTCAAACGCCTAGCCATTAATCGGGGCGGTGACCAACTGTCTAGCGCCTAGGCGGTGCTAGGCGGGGATTTTTAGAACATTGTTCTTACATGACAGCAATAGGAAACCATGAGAGGTATGCTCTTTTATTATAGTCAAACTCTCAATCTAGAGCACACATTCAAACAAACGAATAACTTTAGATTTGAGCAAGATGCTTGGCTAACATCTTGCACTTGACAAAAACTATGATTTTCTTTTTTTATAAATATATCATAACCTTTTGAATGTAAGGAGAGATGAAAAATGCTGACATAGCATTGCTCTAGGGTTTATGTGAGGAAAAAGTTTGGCCAATAACTTGATAATCAGGAGGACTTCGGGAACAATGTTGTTACAGTTTGTAACTTCAGGGTTGATTTCGCCAATTTTTAAATGTCAATGACCAAACTGTTTCCCTATGTTTTGCTTTGCTTTGTGGGATTCATAACGTATATGCATTATACGTACAATTTGCAGGGACTATATAGACACTGGATTAGTTTATATTTTACCAGATTCAGGTGGAGAATCTGGAGTTCCTTATGAGACTTACTTTCCTATGCCAACCTCAGCAAAGGAAAAGCCATGGTATTCCATAGAACAAGCAAGTGTTCACATTACGGTGACTTCAACAGAGCATGACTGGTCCACAAATTCTGAGCAGGTAAAGATGAATCAGTACTGCTCGAGAGCAAAGTAACATCCCTTCACCAGCTTGTTATTGGTCACATATTTCTAGCTAGTTAGTTCCATTCTGACGTACATTACTGTTGGAAATTTGAAGTGTAAGTTGATTTAGTCCTATTTGGTCATGACCATAACTACGAGCGAACTTGTGCGGTTTATAAGAGTGAATGCAAACGATTGCCTCAAAAAGATGAAAATGGGATCGACACATATGATCATAGCAACTGCAGTGCCCCAGTGCACGCTGTAATTGGTATGGCTGGCTTTACCTTGGACGGGTTCTCAAGTGGTGTAAGTCACTCTTTCTCTCCCTCCCTCTCTCTCTCTCTCTCTCTCTTACACGCACACACAGGATTTTTGTACCGTTCTTTACATGGAATTGGAATCTGAACAAACAGGTTAATAATTAATCCTTGGAGTTTATCCAAGATTTCTGAATTTGGTTATCTAAGAGGATATGCGACAAAGAAAGAGATGAAATTAGAGGTCAGTAAGTATGCAAGTTTGAGACTGAAACTTTGAACAAATCTCACTGTGGCAGTCTTGTATGTTCACTAAATTGCTTTCATGTTTCCAGCTTGTGAATGCAGATACAAGAAAGGTTGAAGACAGATTCCACATTACAAAATAGCAAGGTCATCTAATAGGAAGATTTACGTCCAATGTATAGATAATTTGAACAGGAGAAGAGGTGAGAAGAGGAGAGTGCCGGTCATCATGCCCGGAGAAAGTTGTTTTGAAATGTCACTTAGTATTTTCAGTACAGATTATAAGGTTAATGTATTGCGAAAAAATTACTGTAGTTTAAACATATATAGATAATGTAGATCTCTTCCTTTTTCAGAATCATTCAACAAATCAGAGTGCTTACTTTTATCAAATATTTGTTTCTTACTCTACCTGTTTTGTCCAACTTCTTTAAGAGTGAAAGTGGGAGGGTTCTGATTCTGATATATATAGTTTATAAACTTATCATCCGTTTATATTTCATTCCCCCATCACGCCCTCCTCCTAGCAATAACCTCAGCTCTCTCATGTCCTCCTCAGAGACTTATGTTGCTGCTGAAGCAATGGTTTTTCCTCCACCGTGTCCCAATGTTGGGGCTCCTTCTCGCTGTTTATGTTTTTGTAATCATAACTCGTTGAGGCAAAAAAGGTACCATGGCTTGCCCGTTTGGCCCGTGTTTGGCATGCTCCCCTGTCTCTGGCACTACTCCAAACCAACCCATATGAGTTGCTCTACGAAGTTCTTTGCCGCCAAAATGGAACGATTAGATTCAAAGGCCCTTGGTTTAGCAGCCTCTTTGGCGTCATCACTTGCGAGCCTCGTAACTTGGAGTACCTTCTCAAGACCAAGTTCTCCAATTTCCTCAAAGGCCCTTATTTCTAAGACACCTTCGAGATCTTCGGGGATGGCATATTCAGCGCAGACAGCGATAAATGGCAGCGCCAAGGAAGGCAGCGAGCTTTGAGTTTCACTCAGCCAAGTTCCGGAAACTGACAGTGGATTCGTTGTTTGAGCTGCTTGTTCACGCTTGGCTTTTACCTGTTTTAGAGGACTCCATCAAACACTAGACCCCAATCGACTTTCAAGACGTTCTTATGAGGTTGACTTTTGACAACGTCCGCATGATAACATTTGGGGTCGATCCCGGTTGCTTGCAGCCAGGTTTACCCAAAATACCATTTGCTGAGGCTTGAGGAGGCGACAGAAGGAACGTTGATGCGCTTTTGTGTCTCCCATGTGCGTGTGGAATTCTGATGAGTCCATATTATACCTTATATTTTAAAAAAAACTAATGAAAAGGGATTGAAAAGTTTTAGTTTTAATAAAAAAAACCATGTTATAAGTTTTTGTCTTTCTCCTTTCTTTCCTTGGGTTTTGCAATTTTTTCAAATGATGTGGTTGCAGACCTTCTTGTTTTTCTTTGAAACAAAATATAGATCCTCATGCTATTTAATTTATATTTTGTATTATTTCGTTGAAATGTGATCGTCGTTATTATTCATAGTGTATTCGAGGTACTGTTTTTCAATTTTTCTTCGTTAGTGAAGTTCATCATTTGTTTCTCCAGAAAAAATATTTGAGATCTGCATACTATTCAAAAAGAACGACGGGCACTATTTATGGAATGTAAAAATAAACTGTTTCTGGATTTTAAGTAACACTGTTTCTGGAATCTAAGTCACTGTTTCTGGAATCTAAGTCATTGTTTCTGGAATTAAGTCACTGTTTCTGGAATCTAAGTCACTTTTTCTGGAATCTAAGTCACTATTTTTGGATTTTGGTTCTTTTCTTTACAAATACAGTGTTTGTTTGTGCACGGCGGCTTGGTGTGGTTGCTGCTCGCCGAAGCTAAACGGAAAGGAAGGCTGGATTTCGGCGGGAAAGTTGGACAAACTTTAAACGCTGCGTAGTTCTCAAAGAGACGAAGAGAATGGTACCTCGTACGATGGCTACTCGCCGTAGTTTGGCCGGAAAACACCTCGAAAGCCTTGGAGGTTGTCGAAAACTGGGTAAGATTCAAGATTTTAAGTAACACTGTTTCTAGAATCTAAGTCACTGTTTCTGAAATTTAAGTCACTGTTTCTGGATTTTGGTTCTTTTCTTTCCAGATACATTCCAAGAAAATGATGGAGTAAACCCAAATCTGACATCTCATACTTGTTCATCATTTCAGTCTTGAATTCTTGCATCATTCATCACTGCTACTTGTATACACTTTGTCATCTACATAGATTGACACAATTAGAGTCCCAACACCTTCTTTGGTTCTCACATAAAGGATTGCTTCACTTGAGCTTCTGTTAAAACCACAGTGAATTAAATATATAGTGCTTTTCTTAAACTATACACTTTGTCTTCAGCTCATTTAATCATAAAACCATCAGCTTGATCCACATATACCTCCTCGTCGAGAACACCATTCAGAAAAGCTTATTTAACATCCAATTGCCATAGTTTCCAACCTCTCTGTGCAGCTAGAGCAATGAGTGTCCTAATAGTATTTAACCTTGCCGTTTGAGCAAAGGTTTCATTGAAATCAATCCCTGGTTTCTGTGTGTAGCCCTTGGCTACAAGCCTTGCCTTGTGCTTTTGAATGGAGCCATTAAGATTCAGCTTAGTTTTATATATCCATTTCACTCCCACAACCGGTTTGCTACTTGGTTTGTCAACTAATTCCCAAGTGGAATTCTTTTCAATCATCAACATCTCTTCTATCATAGTCTTTTTCCAAGCTTCATCTTTGACTGCCTCACTGAAATCTTTAGGTTCAATGATACTCATGTTGCATTGAGCATATACATCACTCAAACTCTTCCATTTATGTGGAGTATGATCATAAGTTCCAGAGATTGAAACTGGAAGAACCAAGTGAATCAGATTCCTGAGATGCTTACAGGTCTCTAGTTGTTTGTGATCTCAGAGGAAATTGCATAGACTGAGGTGAATCACTTGACTCTGGATCAAATTCAGATATCCTTGAGCTTCCTTCATCATTCCAAGGAATAGAGACTTGCATTGACTCATTAGATTCCCAGTCCCACATTGCTTTCTCATCAAAGATTACACTTCTTGATAGTTCAACCTTTTGAGTTCTCAAGTTGAAGACTCTATATCCTTTTTCACAATTCCCAATCCAACAAATACTCCATTCTCACCAGTTTCCTCCAATTTGTGTCTTTTCTGTGAAGGAATGTGAATGTAACATATAGAACCAAATACCTTTAAGTGTTTGACACCTGGTTTCCTTCCACTAAATGCCTCAAATGGAGTTATGTTGTTCAAAGCACTTGTTGGACACCGATTTTACAAATACACATCTGTGTTCACAGCTTCAGCCCAAAACTTCAAGGAAATCTTCTTTTCAAACATCATTGTCCTAGCCATTTCAACCACAGTACAGTTCTTTCTCTTTGCAACACCGTTTTGTTGTGGAGAGTAGGCAACAATCAATTGCCTTTCTAGTCCAATATCTTCACAGATCTTTGAAAACTCTAGTGATGTGTATTCTCCACCCCTATCATTTCTGAGTTTCTTAATTTGATAGCAACTCTGAAGCTCAACCATGGATTTAAACCGTTTAAAAATGTTGAAGACTTGTGATTTGTGCTGCAGAAAGAACACCCAACACATTCTAGTAGACTTCTAGATTTCGCGACCACTTTACTAGTGATGTAAGGTGAAACTCCCCTTGATGAGTCTCCAGCCCTGTCTCGCTTTAGAGGTTGGCGCATATCCGGTTCTTCTGAGGACTCTAGATTGTTGAAGCTTGGATGACAAGGTTCAATATGAGGCACTCACATAGTGTCTAAAGGATCAGAAGTTTGATTACATGAAGCCTGTATCCCACCGACAATAGTGTGGTTGTTGGCTTGTACATTGCACGGAAGGTTCGTAAATCAAGAATGTTTGTTAGGACGAGTAGAAGTTGAACGATAGGTCTGGGGTCATGGTACTTATGTTGCCATAACCAAAGACAGGAATCTGAGACTGTAGGAGGGTCCCATTGAACGTCCATGAAGTTTGCGTGACTTTCCGCCCGTGAAGTGGTGTAGCTTTCTGCAACTTATCAACACAGGTGTTATCTTTAGTAAAGTCTTCCAAACTTGCTCAATAGGGGAAGGGGTCTTTGGATTAGAGCCTGGCCGTTTCCTAGAGTGGTTGCAACATCAGGTATTTGGTTAGATACTCTTGAGTTGTGGTGGTGTTAGTTTAAAACCTGACTAGTGCAGTGGAAACATGGGGTTTACACTGTCTTCCGGTGTCATGTTAACGTTGGTGTTAACAGAGCTTTCCTCTATAGTCATGTTTGTTGTAGATTGATCTGGTCAAGAGGAATATAAGTACACTCTCAACGAGAGCGCCAATTGTTGAGACCAAATTCGAGTATTGCGGTGAAGGGTGGAGATGCACAAATCCATTTACTTGCAAGATAGAGCACAATCGTTAATCGCCAAAGACCGGCGATGTGTGCCGGTCAAAGGCTGTCCAACGATCAAGTTAGTAAAAAATATAAGACTGAAGCAGTGGGCAAAAGAATAAGTATGTGATAATTGCGGTATGAGATATGAACTCTAATGGCGTATTTATAGCAGTCGAGGATGAGACTTTTAGAATTGTAGAATCCTTATTAAAACGAGAAAATGTCTGAGAATATCCAGGGATAGATATTGTAGAATCCTTACCAAAAGTCAAATTTCAAAACAATGTAGATCACCAAACATATATATAACTTTTTAAGCTTTGTAATCCTTCCCCAGAAACCTGAAATGATCACCATTTCATTATATATGCAGCACAGCAGTACAAGTCCATACGCAATCTAGTTCACAAGAAACTACCCATCTAGTCTAATCAATACACTTTAATCCATATGCATAAGTCTAATCCCAACTTAAAATAAAAATTAAAACGTAACAAAGAAATGTTAAATTAAAGCCTATTCGACAAATGGTAACCACCGCAAAGTGTCTAATTCCTAAGCTTTGATACCAACTTGTCACGTCCTGCCCTGTGAATAAAGACTATTCACGAGTTAAGGTGTGAGCCATATTTTAGTTATAGAAATAGATTTTTTAACCAAGACATGGTGGGGAAAACAATTAAAATAATAACAATTTGTAAATGAAACACAGTACATCATATAACACTTGTTAAATTTTTTACATATTTAACACTAGAGTTTACTATGTAAAATTTATCAAATAGCAACAGAATAAAATTAGTGCACAAATTAGTGCACAACCAAAAGTACCAATAAAATAATAATTGAAATGAGTAATTCTTGCATTACATAATTATGTGCATAGGAGATGGATGAATTTACCGACTTCCTTCTAATCCCGCTAGCATATACACAAGTGACCCAAGCTTGTATTGAACTAAATATGGTAAATACCAATATTAAACTAAACATGGTAAATACCAAAAATATATATGACAATATTTGGAAATTTCTAATATATTCATTAATCTCCAAAGTGGAGTATATATAGGAGTTATAATTGGTATTACATATGTACTTCACCAATGTGGGACAATAAGCTACTATTTACACTCTAACTAATATATAACTCGCAACACTCCCCCTCAAGTTGGTGTAAAGATGTCACGCATGCCCAACTTGTCAAGCGAGTTGGAAAACACGCTATTAGACACAGCCTTAGTAAGAGCATCAGCAAGTTGATCTTCAGATTTCACAAACGGAAACATAATAATTTCAGCATCCAATTTTTCCTTAATGAAATGTCGATCAATCTCCACATGTTTTGTTCGATCATGTTGCACTGGATTATGAGCAATCTCAATAGCAGTCTTGTTATCACAATGAAGTTTCATAGCACATTTGGGGTTAAACCCAAGATCTCTCAACAATTTTTTCAACCACAACAACTCACATACACCATGCGACATACCACGAAACTCAGCTTCTGCACTTGACCTAGCCACCACTTTTTGTTTCTTACTTCTCCAAGTAACTAAATTACCACCCACAAACGTAAAGTATCCAGATGTAGATTGCCGATCAGTGATAGAACTTGCCCAATCTGCATTTGTATACCCTTCGACATTCAAATGACCATTCTTGGAGAAAAACAAGCCTCTGCCAGGAGCCATCTTCAAGTACCTCAAAATACGGGTTACTGCATCCATATGAGCTTCACTAGGTGAGTGCATAAACTGACTTACCACACTAACTGCATAAGCAATGTCAAGGCGAGTGTGAGACAAATAAATTAATCTCCCCATAAGCCTCTGATACCGTTCCTTATGAGTAGGAACTTGATCTGGAAATAAGCCCAGACGATGATTCTGCTCAATCGGAGTATCAACAGGTTTGCAATCTAACATACCTGTTTCAGCTAACAAATCAAGAACATATTTCCGTTGAGACAGAAAAATACCATGCTTGGATCGTGCAACCTCGATTCCAAGAAAATACTTCAATTCACTCAATTCTTTCATCTCAAACTCAGTAGCTAGGTACTTTTGAAGACGTTGTATCTCCTTCTGATCATCACCAGTCACTATCATGTCATCAACATAAATAATCAATGCAGTTAGCTTACCATTTTGTCGCTTTAGAAACAAAGTATGATCTGAATGGCTCTGGATATACCCAAACTTCTTCATTGAACTTGTAAACCTCCTAAACCACGCTCTAGGAGATTGTTTCAAACCATACAAAGCATTTTGTAACCTGCATACAACACCTTTTCCAAGAGATGTTCCAATACCAGGTGGGAGATCCATATACATTTCCTCCTTAAGATCACCATGAAGGAAAACATTCTTAACATCAAACTGCAACAGAGGCCAATCCTGGTTTGCTGCTAAGGACAGAAGAACACGCATAATATTAAGTTTGGCAACAGGAGCAAATGTCTCCTGATAGTCCACCCCATAGGTTTAAGTATAACCCTTAGCAACTAATCTAGCTTTATACCGGTCAATAGAACCATCTGCTTTGTGCTTAATAGTAAACATCCATCTACATCCAACGATTTTTTTTCCGTTTGGTAAAGGAACCAAATCCCAGGTAGAATTCTATTCCAAAGCTTCCATCTCAACTTGCATGGCATTAACTCACTTAGGGTCAGACAAGGCATCTTGCAATTTTGTTGGAATTGATACACTAGATAGCTGACATATGTAAGATGCATATGGTTTGGATAAACGATGAGTAGACACATAATTGTTAATAGGATATTTGGCTTTGGCATGCATATCAGGCTCATATTGTACTTTAGGTTTTCCACGATTAGCTCGTGGAGGCAACTGATAAGTAGAAGAATTGTCAGAATTTACCTCATGTATGCCACCATCTTGTTCCAAACTGTTAGAAGAATCATCACTGGACGAACCATCATCAGGCAACTCGTTAGACATATCAGCAGGCAACCGATCATTAGAAGGTAATTCGTCAGACATACTAACAGGCAACTCACTGGGCACATCTGATCCATCGTCAGTAGAAATAGTTCTGGGAATAACAGGTGACCGATCACTATCTATAGTCGACTGATCAGTATCACGCAACATAATAGGTTCTATTCCCAACTCTGCCTGTAACACATCATCCATACCATCTCTTCGAATCTGCATTTCACTTCCCCTCTCCCCCTGAAGTGGAGAGTCGGAAGAGGGCTTCACAAAATATGAAACTTCCTCATGGAAGGTGACATCCATGGTAATATAAGTTTTTTGAGTCGGAGGATGATAACATTTATAGCCTTTCTGATTGTTAGCATACCCAATAAAGACACACCGGAGAGCACATGCATCAAGTTTACTCCGCTGATGAGAGTAGACATGCATATACGCAATACACCCAAACACTTTCGGAGGAACCTTTGATACAGAAACAAGAGAAGCATGTTGTTGTAGCACATCGAACGGTGTCTGAACTTACTTGGAACATGATTGATCAAATACACAGCAGCCAAAACAGTATGACCCCATAAATGATTAGGAACACATTTATCCAACATCAAGGAGCGAGCAACTTCCATTATTTGACGATTCTTCCGTTCGGACACACCATTTTGTTGGGGTGTAAACGGAGTAGTTGTCTGGTGAATAATACCATCATCACGAAAAAAACATGACAAAGTGTGATTCACATATTCTCCCCCGTTATCAGACCTGAAAACCTTAACTTTGGTATGAAACTGAGTAGACACCATTATACAAAATTCTTGAAGAAGTAACGGAACATCACTCTTATTCTTCATCAAGAACACCCAAGTTAACCGAGTACAATCATCAATAAAAGTAACAAACAAACGGAATCCATTAGAAGTAACTTTCGCTGGACCCCACACATCAGAATGTATCAAATCAAATGGCAAAGTAGCTTTAGAATCACTTACAGGAAATGAAGCACGATGACTCTTAGCCATGACACATGTTTCACACTTGAACTCTGAATCACTACAAGTGCGAAACAAAGAAGGAAATACATCTTTCATATAACTGAATGATGGATGTCTCAATCGTCGATGCCACAACCAAATTTGATGTCTGTCATCCACTTTAGAACTTAAAACTTGATGATTATTTGAACCAGAAACAACAGTATTCTCCATAGTCAAGATGTACAAACCCCCTATTCTTTTACCATGACCAATTATGTTCTGAGTTTGAATATCTTGAAAATAACAATACGTAGGGTAGAAGTGAGCAGAACAATATAAGGTATCAAGAAGTTTTCCTACTGACAAAAGATTGCACTTAAGATCAGGAACAAGTAAAGCATTGACCAATGATAAGGTTGGAGTCAGAGAGATAGTGCCTTCACCCTTCACAGGGGAATGTGCTCCATTTGCACTAGTAACATACAGATCACGAACATAGTCACATAACTCATCAAACACTCTAGGGTCACTAGTCACATGATCAGTGGCCCCAATATCTATTATCCATTTATTTGTTCCACCAAGATGCATAACAACACTATGATTATATTAAGCCATTGTACAAAAATCACGAACAATAAAGGCACAAAAGATACGCAGCGGAATGATTCACGTCACTATAGCAATCACTGTTTACGGTACTATAGAGGACCACTGTTCACGCACTGTACTGTAGCGCCACTATTCACTTTTTTTTAAAATTTTTTTTTTTAGGAATGAAATCACGAAAAATGTGGGCACAAAATTAAAGCACACAGGTCACCAAGAGCGAACTGCTCTGATGCCATATTGAACTAAACATGGTAAATACCAATATTAAACTAAACATGGTAAATACCAAAAATATATATGACAATATTTGGGAATTTCTAATATATTCATTAATTTCCAAAGTAGAGTATATATAGGAGTTACAATTGGTATTACATATGTATTTCACCAATGTGGGACAATAAACTACTATTTACACTCTAACTAATATATAACTCGCAACAGCTTGCACGTCGCATACCATGCTTATACCACTTGGCTCTAAACAACTTATAATATGAGTTAACATCCGTTCATGATTCATCCCTTAAACCCAATTTTTATAATTAAATTCTCAATTTTCACTTTTTTATATAGGCACTTTCCCCGACGACCAGTTGTATATTCAAGTCCTTCTCCCAACGTTTGATATATAGAAAGTTTTATAGAATTGAGGATGAAAAACATTTTTCATGAAGAAAGTATGTCTGTTTGAGCAAGGGAAGTTGGAGCTTCAAAGCTCGTAACATGTCTGTCCGATTTTCTGCAGATTTCAAGGCTGTAATAGTATTTCGAAGATATAGAATGAATGGACCACTGGATCATTCTGGGATTTTGATATGTTATGCAAAAGAAGATAAGGAACGACTTCTCATTTCCATTATCTTTACTATCAGATTATGGAAAGTTACTCATCTTTGATGGTAATTCATTCGTTCCTTACCATTGGTTACTTTGTTCTCTTGCTTCAGAATGCTTTTGTTTTGCGGGACACGAATGGATTTCCATTGCATTTTACTCAATACTTTGGAATCGGTGTTCTGTTGGATATTTATTTGTACATGACTTTGCTCACTTGTACTTTTTCCTACAGTTGATGGCAGATGAACGAGGATTAATAGTTGATGTTGAGTGTTTCAATGATGCTATGTATGAGGGTTGGGAAGGATCAAGGAATGCTCAAAATAAGGTACTACGTCTTTTGACATTCAGCTATGTATGAGGGTTTTGTTTTAGGTCTTTTGGGATCTACATAAATCTTTCTATTCTCTAAAATATTCGAGATCAACTTAAATCTTTGTATCTTTTACAATGGACATTGGAAATTTGCGTCCTATATGTTGTAAGTTGTAATATGTGGAGCTTTGTTCTATTGAAAGACAAGACGGCAAAAAACCTTAGTATAGAGTATTTTGCTATATAACAGTGGTTGGAAACACTTATTTTCTCATTCTAAAGATCACCATGTACATTAATATTGATGCTTGTCCATGAACAATATAACAAAATATACACTCTATGTTGCGCGTAGTGCACCATGATGTAAAAAAAAGTCTTTCACGCATGCAAGGCGTGTGTAGAAAGGCTAGTACATGAATTAAATAGAGTGTCCTAAACAAGTTCTATAATGTATATGTACTTATTTCTCGTAACAAAATATGAACGTTTATGAGTAGCTGCTAATCACCAAGGCTTACAGCTTCCGAGTTCCGACACTGCTTCCCTTTCTTGCTTCTCGTTTGCCATGAACTAACAAATATAAAACAAAATTAAGCAAAGCATATACCACATCTATGTGCAAACTGCTTTCAATTATTAAGTCATTAAGAACAGAATTTTGACCTACTATTGCGATATTGGCCTTGCCGTCCCAGCAGCATTCGCCAGCTTTGCCCCACTCCACTCCCCACCACTTTCTTCTTTAAGGAACAACCAGAAGTAGGAAAAAAAAAAAAACACATTATGATTTTTTCCATGAGAAACCGAGAAAATAGCAAAGAAAAAAATACAGAAAATATAAGTAGCATACTTACCAGTTATCCACTTCTCTATCCTCCTCAATATTTGTAATGACAACAGAAGGCACATGTTGAATTTTGTAGGAATCCTCTCCTCCTTCCCGAAGCCTACTACAGAATGTCCCAGGCATCTTTTGGATTGTTAATTCCTTGAGGGTAGTAACATACTGAAGCCCCTCAGGGACTGCCGTCAATTCCCAGCAATAGTCAATAGACAAACTGCAGAGACTACGCATGCCTCCTTTCTCTATGCTACAAGTCTTAAATTCAGCCATCCCAGAAAGTGAAAGAAATTCAAGATTAGGATAACCTTCTTCTGAGAAAACCAGTTCTGGAAGATTCTCGAAAGTACCAAAACCAAACCAAAGCATTCTTAAGTTTGGGATCTTCTCAAGTATTTTGAGACTGTCCAACCGTAGAAGAGTACGAGACAGAGACATCTTAGTGAGGTTCCGATAGTACTGAAGGCCTTCCAATGATTGATCTCTGATTGCCCCGTCCAATTTAAGTTTGTATATATGAGGACAACTCAATGCCATATTCATTGGTAGAAGTTCGAGACCAGAGTGCACAAATAGAGATCGAAGATGGTTAAATGTGATGCTAGTAGATTTCAAGATTTCCTCCATATTTTTCACCCCATGTATGAACAGTTTTCTGAGATTGGTCAATTCAGCAAGATGATTCAAATCACAATCAGCACCTGAAATATTGACTAAAGTCTGCAAATTGTGAAGAGTAGCCAAGGACAATTTCCCACCCCCTTCGTAAAAATGGCATAAATATAAATGTCTCAATTCTTTCATCTTCCAAATCACATTTGGTACTTTCACCCGGGTAACACCTCGTAAGTCTAGAGTTTGCAAACATACTAAATTACCTAAAGATGATGGCAACTGTTTTACATGACTTCCCTTTAGACTTAAAAACCTTAAGTGGACAAGATTCCCAATGTTACTCGGCAACTCAACATCTCCCCTTATGCCTTCAAACTTTAGTACCCTGAGCAATTTGGAGTTGAATAGTACTGACCCCAATAATTTTTTCTTCCAATTGGAGTAATCATATTTTGGGTCGACATAGAATAACAAAGACCTAAGATGGTCATTTCTTGTGGGAGCAAATCTATCAACAAATTCTGTTTCCACATATACAGCAAGTCTTCGAACTTTAGTAATTGTTGCTACCTTGGTTATCGTGTCAGTAAAATTTACAACGTGAAGAAAGTTCTCCTCTTCTGCCTTTAACAAGCACAAGTCTCGCATAAGATCATGAACACGGCATGTTTTGATCTTCTTAGTTGAACCAAGTGTTCCAACTTGAACCATACATCTTTGCACCAACTCACTTAAACAAGAATATGCTACATTTTCCAATACTTCGGATGAACCATGTCGTTGGGACGCCGGAGATATAAAACCTTCTGCTATCCATAACTGAATCAGTCTTTTGACCGGTATCTCATAATCATCTTGAAATTGGCATAAATATAAAAAGCATAGTTTTAAACGATATGGTAAGTCGTCATAACTCAATGCCAACACCCTTAATGCACCTGTATATCCTTGATCGCCTTTGTATTCTTGGTCAAGATCAGTTCCTCTCTGTATATGCACATCAACGTTCTTGTCTACTGTATTCCACTCGTCAACTGTGACTTTTCTTGCTAGAAGTTCCGCAATCACAGTAATGGCTAGTGGCAGACCAGCACAATGTTGAAGCATCTTCTTTCCTAGTTTCTCCTTCTCAGCATAAGATTCAGAGTCTGAAAAAAAATTAAGAAAAGCAGGTCAACTATTATGTTTTTAGTCATTCCTAAAGTATCCTATATATGTTGCAGTGTCCTTTTGGATTCTTGAATGTTTTTGACAGTAGAACATAAATATTAGTGTCTGATTTCTCAATACAATGAGTTTTGGAAGGGCGAAATCATAGTTACATGAAATGTAGTAATCTCAATCAATTAGGCTTAGTAGTTAACTAAACTAAAGTAATTATAGTTTTGGTTGATAACAAGGAAGAAGAGGAGTAAACTGAAAATCTGGAAATACAAAGGGGGCCGGCCAGTTGGTGGCACTCATCTGTGCAGGGAGAGAGCAACTCACGACCTGCTCTGTACAAGGGCTTTGTACAACATGCATTTTTTCCATTTATCTTGGAAGGTTAGAAGTGAGCTCTCCACCCATAAAAACATCCTTGCTTAGACTTTTGCTAGCAATAAAAATATTAAGTAAAAATATCTAGATACTTAATTAGCTAAACACACGCTGCATATCAACACTAACACCTGCCTTGGATAATTTAACTAGAGCAAATCTCTTACTAATGTCCTAGACATTCATCTATTTTCTTAATGATTAGGACAATGACCTTACCTCTCATCAATAGTTTCCAAGCCAGTCCCTAAAATTAGTCATATCCGCAGGAGATCAGGTTATAATGACAGATTTATCTGCTTGATTTGCTGGAACTGTATTATTCTCTTCAATATCCAAGCCAATCCAGTGTATCAAACGCACACTAAGTTTAACAAATAGGGACAATGATGTGTGTATTATATCGAAAGCATAAGTGAAATGCAGTGATCTCTATTTTATTAGGCTTAACATATAAACAAAAAGAAGCAATGAATGATAATAGAGTTGAGAAACATACCTGCTTGATCTCTCCCAAAGATTGCTATCTTCTTAAACAGTTCCCAGCTTTCCTTAGTATTTAGCGCACGCGATTTATAAACATAACGATTTTCTCCAGCATGTGTAGCAACGTCGTTGTTGCGAGTGGTGAGTAATATACGACTCTTCGTTTCCTCACCTATTGGAAATCCAGGTTTTAGAGAGTTCCACGCATCACGAGTCCAAATGTCATCAAGAACCACCAAACATTTCTTCTTTTTTTGGATGATGCAAAGCCTCTCTACTATTTGGTCCTTCTTCATTTTCGAAATTTCTTTTATTTGATCATTGGTGGCGCGAGTAAGCTTGATCAAAATATCTTCCAAAACCTCTTTTCCATGACATTGTTGTGACACACACACCCAAGCAAAACAATCGAAATGACACTTAACAACATTGTGATCATAAACTTGTTTTGCAAGAGTGGTCTTTCCTGAACCGCCCATCCCCCAAATAGATACAACTTGGGTTTCTTCTTTCACCAACTGCTTGACTAGTATCTCTATACCGCTCTCTAACCCAACAACATCACGTTCAATAACATGTGGATACGTTTGCCTTTGTTCCTTTTGCCTCTCAAAAGAAGTGGCACCTCCATATTGTGTACCCGTTATTTGCTTGATGTTATAACCTTGCAAACTCGCCCTCAATTTGGAAAGCTTGACCGTAATGCTCTCAATTTCTGAACCGATCTTGTGAAGATTAATGCCTTTGTTAAAGATGCACGCCAACCTTTTCAGAACAAGCTTCCCACTTCCTCCCCTTTTGAGAGCCACTTTCAAGGCAAAAGATTCAATGACATCCTCCAAATCATAAGCAGCATCTCTTATAATTTGAACCCAAATGCGTACTACTTCATTGTCTCCTTGTTTTGCATCAGCATCTTTCAGGAAGCCATGCATCAAAAGTAGCTCGATTTGTGCATACTCAATTTGATCGCCAACCCCACTCAAGAACTTCACTTCCTCAATAAGAGCGCCTTTGAGCCCTTCAATTACCATTGAAACTACCGCCTCGGCCATATTTCCCCAAAAAAAAAAATTAACTAGCTTTCTTTTTCGAATTCTGTTTCTGTGAATGATTCAAGTGGTTAACTAGAGGAGTCTCTCGTGTTTTTCTCCTCCTTCACATGTTCTTTATTCAATTGTTTAGCGAATCAGTTGGCTTTAACAAGACGCGAAACGGAGTATAAAAGCATAAAGGAATAATATACATTTCGGTGAGTGCATAAAGGAATATTTTACATTTTGATGAGGGCATAAAGGAATAATTTACATTTCGGTGAGAGCATAAATGAATATTTTACATTTTGATGAGTGCATAAAGGAATAATTTACATTTTGATGAGTGCATAAAGGAATAATTTACATTTCGATGAGTGAATAAAGGAATATTTTACATTTTGATGAGTGCATAAATGAATAATCTACATTTGGATGAGTGCATATGCATAAAGGAATATTTTATATTTTGATGAGTGCATAAAGTAATTATTTCCAATGAGTGCATATGCTTAAACGAATAATTTATATTTGGTAAATTACATTTTATCCTCTCAAGTTTAGGGTCAATTACAACTTCTTACTACATCTTTAAATCATTTTAATCTCATATGTTCACTACTATTTCATTTCAATTTCATACAACCGTTACTATTTCTGTCAATCATTTTGTTATCTGCTTACATGGCCATAAGGGACCATACAAAATTCGTGCTACGTGGATAAAAACAAATAAAATAATTTTTAGTTATAAAATGCACACCCTCTCCACCTTGTGTAAGGGTTTGCTGTCCCCAAATTTCATGTCTCTTTTGTGTCTCGTTTCTAATTTTTTGACACGTGTCCTCTAACTTTATTCCAAACTAACAGTGTTAACTTTTCATATAATTAAAGATAAATTACATTTTCTTTAAAAAGTTAAAAAAAAATCGAAAAAATAAAATGAAAAATCTGAAACGATCTTCATCTTTCCTCACTTGATCTCCCAGAGTTCACCTTTGAGCCAACCACCCCTTCAGCATCCCCCACTCGCTTTTCTCCTATGCCCTTTGAATGAAATGAAGATTTCATTAGAGGAGACATCACCCTTGACTTGTTTCAGATAATGGAGAAATTCAAGCTAGTACACGAAGTTGGGGCTTCCAGCTTTCAATCGGGGAAAGAGAAGAGAAAGCATGAAATTAAAAGTTGGGTTGATCTAGGTGTGGGTCTGGTGGTTGCCATTGCTCACCACCGACGAAGCATCGATTAATATCCTCCTTGAATCCCAAATATTAAACTTTGATAGAATATTTGTTCTTTGACGTGCTGGATCAATCACGATCTAGTGCAAGATTTGAAGAAAGAGAGAGAAAAGAAGCTTTGCCCGCGGTAAGGTGGAGCGACAGCGGTGATGGGGTTGTGTGTCGTGTGTGCTAGGAAGATTGGCCAGAATCAATGGAGACTCCGTGAAGGTGGTTGTCGATGGGTACGGAATCAGTGTGTATTCTTACCAACGATGACCATGATACCTGATCTAAGGAGGCTAGGTCATGGCGATGTGGGGTGGTTGCCGCTGATGTGTTGGATTGGGGTTAAGGAAGTCGTGGTATTGGAGAGGAGGAAGAAGGTCATGACTCAGTGTGGTGGGTTTTTATTTTATTGTTGATGTTTTTATTTTATTTTTATATATTAAATTTAACAGTGTTAAGTTCTAGTTAAATGGGTGGACACATGTCAAGTAATTAGAGACGAGACATGTACGAGACACGTATTTAGGGGACAGCAGACCCACGGCCCTTCACCTTCTCTCTTGCTTTTTGCAAGAACCCAGATCCACCCATAGTTGTCGTAACACTCTCTCTTTCTCACTCTCACCCAGCACCTTCTCAAACTTCCGCACACCCATGAAAGTATCTTCCTTTTCCTCCTCCTTCTTCCCCCTCCCTCTCTCTCTCTCTCATCTTTTTCTCCCTCCAAACCTCCATAACTCTCTGCTATTCTCCCTCTCCCATGTAAACCCCTTAATCCCCTAATCCAATTTTTGAATCAGCCTATGCCCACCACCGAAAGAATGAAAAGAAAAAATGAAAATTGCATTTATGGCTTTGGACCTTCTCTCGTCCATCTTCTTTCAATCTCTTGAATCTCTCTAGAAAACAAGAATTCTTCATTCAATTTATATTCAAATCGATTGAGAAATTAGGGCTAGGTTTTTGGTGTTTGCAATGGAGTTACCGATCGGGCCTTCAAGAATAAGAAATGGCTGGTTTTGGTAATGGTGCTAGCCTTCATTTGGTGCAGGTGGAGGCGCGAAATCTTTTCGGCAGAGGTGGGGTGGTTGACGGAAATGGGGTACTACGTTTTGGATTCTAGTGTGATCATCAATAAAAGTAAGAAAGAATTTGTTTCCTCCAAGAGTAGTGATCTGCATACCACATATATCAGAGTGAATCAGTTCTAGAGTTTGTGTTGCTCTCCAAGTCTTTTCCTTATCGAATGGTTCTCTGTGACCCTTCCCTATAGCACATCCAAAGCAAACATGGTCAATGACTTGTAGTCTAGGTAAACCCTGCACCATTTCATTCTCTTGCAGGAGCATCAAACTAATGTAGTTTAGATGTCCATATCGTCTATGCCATAACCAAGATGACTCTTCAACAATTGCTCTACTAGCCATAAGAGGATTGACATATTCTAGACATAAGGGAAAGCATCTGTTTCCTTTCATTTGGACACTTGCAATCAAATCTTCCATCTGTCTATCTCCATAAATATCAACTATATAATCACCAAACACAAGCCAATATCCATGTTCTACCATATGTCCTACACTCAACAAATTTTCATCCAATACAGGTACAATCATAACCTCTTTAATATATCTAGTTACCCACTTCATTTTTATAACCAAGGTACCTTTGCCTATTGACTGCACTAAATCACCAGTGCCCAATTTAACTCTACACTTCACATTCTTATCAACATCAATAAGCAAAGATTCATGAGAGGTCATATGATTACTACATGCACTGTCAATATACCATATGTTCATATTTCTCCCAATAGTAGCAGAATGGCAGGCATAAAACATTGTTGCAGGTTCTGTTACCTGATTGGCAAAGTTTACAAGTTTTCCAGCCTTGTTTGGTTAATCACAGTCCTTGATGAAGTGACCAAATCGATTGCAACCATGGCATTTTAGCTTCCCTTTAAACCAACATTCACCATAGTGTAGCTTATCATAGTGTTTGCATTTTCCCTTAGCCTAATCTGGTTTTCCTCCTTGATCATATTTTCCACCTTAATTCACAGAGTTCTGAGGTTTAGGATCTCATTTCTTACCCTTTGATTTCCAGTTTTTCTTTGGCCTAGAGTTACCAAATGAGGGATTTGACTAAGTTCCCTTTAGATTTACACTCATACTACCAAAAGCTCTCTTAGTGGTACTCTCAGCATGCCTATCAAGGCGCTGTGCAAATCCCCTAAATGCAGCAATTACCTCTTGCACCTCAATAGTTTCAATGTCCTTAGTTTGCTCAATCATATAGCAAACATGATCAAATTCTTTGATCAAGCTTATGAGCAAGTTCTGAACCAAACGCTCTCTCTGGGTAAATCTTCCCCATACCCCTTCATCTGATTCACCAACTCGAGAAGGCGAGTGAGATGCACAGATAAGGTTTCATCATCCCTTATCCTTGTGTACTCGAAATCACAGCTTAGACCCTGCAACTTGATGGATCTCACTTGCTTATCGCTATGAAATTCTTGGTGTAGAATATCCCAAGCACCCTTTGAGGTCTCTTCGTTTGAGATTCTGGGGAAAATGTCATCCGAGATAGCTCCTTGGATAATATCCAGTGCCTTAGCATCCTTCATTAGCTTTTCATTCAGAGATCCTTTCTCTGATTCCAATGACCCTTCTGCATCACCCTTTTTCCCCTTCGATTATGAGATTTCAAGTCCTTTTTCAACTAAATCCTAGATTCCATGTGATTTGAAAATAGTTCTCATTTGGATCTTCCAAAATTCATAGTTGTCGCCATTGAATATTGGAGCCCGAAGATCACTACCACCTGACCCAGCCATTTGATACCTGAATCGACGAATTGAGTCGGAAATTTCACATTGGATTTCCGAGCACAGCACACACAGATCCGACGCCCCGATTCCAGATAAAACCTAGGCTCTTGATACCATGTTGAGATTTGAGTAGTCTTTCATTGATGATTTATTGGATTACGAAGGGAGCAAGAGAATGCAGAGAGGGAGTGAAAAGCTCGAAAGGGAAATGGAATAATCACTGCAACATTCTAACCGTTGCAGAATGATGCATTTCATTCATATAGATCTTTCTTTTACATCAGTCATCACAGCCAGTCAAATACATGAGCCATTGTGATTATGACACATGACACTTACAAGGCATGTGAGCCATTGAAAATGAAAACTGATCTAAGACCCTACACTTGGCATATGAGCACAAGTTATCACAACAGAAAACAATTACACAATCGGACAAAGGTAAATTGAATAAGTAAATCATTTACTAACAAGAAATTAGTAAGCAATTTACTTTTCAACAAATCCTTCTTCAAGCCTGATTACTAAACATATAATTCATAATTTAGACCTCTCTCTTTTTGTTTGGGTGATAGTTCAGTAAGAACATAGATTTTTTGTATCCATATTTGTCTTATTTTTTTCATTTAAGAAAGTAGGAATGGGAAGCCATGATCTCATATTTGAGGCCTATGGAAATTCTGAGGTTTATGTCGTTTAGGCACGTATAAACAAGGGGTTTAAGTTTATGTCTCACATTTGTTACAACTCTGTTTTGGATTTCAATTTGTTAACTCTGTTTTATTAGTACACAAATCAATTGTCAATAAGAAAACATATTGTTTTGGGGGTGTCTAGTCTAGTGTCTAGCTTAAGAGTGCATTTTCTCGATAACTTGACAGCAGCTGCTAATTTGAAAAGTGCGTTAGGTTAGTACCGTATCCAATTTTCCCATGCGTAATCATGCTTTGTAGAGGTTAAAAATCTCTGGCTTTCGAATGTTGCAAATACATGTGCATTTTCTACCCTATTAAGACAAATACTTTTGT